CTCTCTGTCTCTCTCTCTGTGTATCTCTCGCTCTCGCCTTCTCTCTTTCTCTCTCTACTCTTTCGCTCTAGACTGACTGCACCGTATAGACCGGGAGTGGGAGGTCATGTCTTGTTCTTTAGCTATTTTAATTTGCTGCGAGTTTCGGTTACTCGATACGCTGTCGTTATGGCAACCGCCTGCCCCAGCATCAAGTTTGGAACGCCTACAGTAAATCTGTTAGTGCAGCTTCTGTAGCTAGCCGCGGAGTTTGTTTAAATCTTGTCGCATATGAACACATAGAAAGTAAGGAAAACATATAGGCATGAAGATACTGCGGCGTGTGCTGTATGCTCGTTATGTTTCGGCATACACACACACACACTAATATCCTAATTAAACGTTGTGTTACTAAAACAATAAGTAATACGGTGAAAGTCGTGGTTGCTGTTATTACAGCTGCTGTATATATATATAAATTGTAGTCTGTAGATATATTAAAGACAAAACATGACTTTTAGTTTCACGCTTACGCGATCATCAGACAGACTTTAGTCTACTATATAAAATTATTATATATATTTATAGTGTATATATGCTTAACAATCTGACCAGGAGTACATTAACAGGCTAACATTAACATTAATGCGTCTAAATTAACTTTTATATAATTACATTATACACTAANCTACTAACTACTATATATTATATATATATATATATATATATATATATATATATATATATACCAGGAGTAATTAATCTCAAAGAGACATTAATTACTTCTGATATATATATGTATATACACCCACACGCACGCACGCACGCACACACACATACACACACACACATATATACTATATACACTGTTTATACTATGTGTAACACTGTGTGAATGGCTTGTAGTGAACGGAGTGACGATCTTGAGCAACACCGGCGGCATGGCTACAAGCGTCATGCCCGCCGCTGGCAAGAAGAAACGCAGAAGGAAGAGAAAGAGAAAGAGAAAGAGCAAGAAGAACAAGACCGGAGAGGTATGAATCTCACTCTGTTGCCACGTGATGCCGTCGTCACGCACACACCGTGGCACGTGCGCTCGAGTATTTTCCTTGGTATTGGATCGGTTGCTCACCATCCCTCGCAGAACGACATGTTGTTGATGTGGTGTGCGTGTGTGTGTGCCAGATTACAACCTCTCCTTCTGCGTTGCAGACAGGCAGACAGGCAGACAAGCATCAGTAAATAGATTTAACGTTATTTTCAAAGAGGCTTAACACTGTATTACTTTATTACATCATCGGGTTTAACCCTATATTACTATATTGCATCAGCGGTGTCAAAAAATTAGTCCTATGTGGTCATTGGATCGACACTGTATTGCTTTTATATATCATATATCGTATATTATATATTATATATCATACTGGTTTATATATCATATACTGGTTTTAACAGTACTGCTCCATTGTGTCGTCGATTTTAACACTGTATTACTATGTTGTGTCGTGGAATTTTGACTCAGCACTCAGCAACGCAATATGACTTATATCGGCGAATTCGTGTTCAGTGTGCCTTTACTTATAGGAATCTGAAGGACAACTTGAGATCACGGAGCTCGATAACAACTCTGACGGCATGAGTCCGTCGTCAGATGATGGCTCCGAGGAAGGCTTGGTGACAGACCCAAAGACCGATGGTGTCGTCATTGTCGAGAACGTCAGAGCAGATTGCTACAAACCCATCGAGGTAAGGTTCACTTATATTATTATATGGTTCAATAGCTGTCTGTCTCTCTCATTCTCGCTCTTTTCCCCCTCTCTGGGGGAGGAAAGAGAGGAAGGAAGAGAGAGAGTGTGCGAAATAGATAGATATATAGATAGAGAGAGAGAGAGAGAGAGAGAGAGAAAGAGAAAAAGAGCGAAAAAGAGAGAAAGAAAGAGACAAAGAGTGCAGTTGCATGTGAATGCGTGTGCGTTGAGCAACTCAAAGAGAATTAGCAAGCGACCTAACTAAACGATGTAAAGGTCGTATATATGTAAATTGACTCTGTGATCTACAGATATTTAACCACGGACATAGACGTTACCCCGTGCTGCAGACACCATGTGAAACTCTGTCTCGTATCTTACATCAGGTGATCGTGCATGAGACAGACGACAGTCTATGGTGGGATGAAGACATCGACGTCATCAACAGAAAAACTATCACAAACGTCGCCGAATACGAGGTAATGGCGCCCACCAGGAACCGCCACATGCTAGGGTGTCATTGAGAGGACATTTTGAATTTAGCCCCGTGATATATACATCTATGTATACATATATACGCAGGCACGTACGGACGCAGGCACGAACGAACGGACGCACACACACGTACACACACACGCACGCACGCGCGCACACACACACACACACACACACACGCACACACACACATACGCACGCGCGCGCGTACGGCATGTTTGACTCCGTCACGGATATTTATGTATGTGTTGACTACAAGAGTCGGGTTTTTCTTCACTCGCACAGGAGATCAGCGGCATAGACAACATGGTGAGCGTCGATCTATGGGATGAAGAAGCTGAGGAGCAACGCTGTCCCAGCATCGAGGAGGAATTCAACGCCATCGAGATGACCGACTACGGCAAGAAGCACAACCCCCGTCTGCCACGCCCCGACAGCGGTTTCCAGGACGACGACGTAGTGCTGTCATCTATAGAGACGGAAATGGAGGTGTTGGCTGCTACACGCAGAGCTGACAGGTAAAGAGAATGTTAGATAGATAGATAGATAGATAAATAGATAGATTGTGTGTGTGTGTGTGTGTGCGTGCGTGCGTGCGTGCGTGCGTGCGCGCGTGCGATCGCGTTTTCGTGCGCGCAAAGGCGTACGGATATATGTTTCTTTAACATGTAAGGAACAGCGGTCGCGCCTCACTGTGCGCATGCGCTAACGTAGCAACTGTTTCGTCAGGGCCGACAGCGGAGTTCAGTCGGACGGAGACTCCGAGTGCGAGATCAACACTGATGAACAACAGCAGCAACACATGAGCAAGTATCCGGCCATCTTCGACGACGACGATGACGATGAGGAGGTTTTCAATGTCAAGACGCAGACGTCGATCGTAGAGAAGATACTATCGAAGACTAAAGGCGAGAAATCTCGTCTGATCGTCGGCAAGGAAGACGAGATAATGCCCGGATGCTGCGTTCCCGGATGCACCATTCTCTAGGTGCTCCCTCTATCGGAGCAGAAAGTAAGTACATGCATCTCAGCGCGCCTTCGTGGCAGAACTAGCGCACGCTAACGTCGCCGTGCGTATAACGGAGACAGACCTACGGAGGCAAGGCTGAATATTGAGGTGAGGCTCGCTGACTATATATTATCACACGGTACGTGGACCGGGTACCAGCGCTATGGATGCGTGGATTCTGGGGGAGGAGATACGAAACATTAGTACAACTGCCTCGAAGATTAAACTCTCGACTTGCGTCGTTGGCTGTTATGTGACATATAATGTGACGCGTGTGTCCGCGTTCACCCGCCATGGACGACGCTCAATTCTCCGACCAGTTCGCTACGGATTCATCATGTGCCGTTTGATGACAAAATACACGCCGGAAAAATCATGCCGAAAATCTGTTTAAAATGAGGGCGAAACATTTTTTAACACTACAGCTGATTGTTAACAGCGACAAGTATTGTTTCTGGGTGACGTGGATGGCTAAATATTATATGGCAGTGTCTGTTTAATCACGACGCAGAAATTTGCAATTATATTCGGCATACAATGAGTACATTAATGTCTTGCATTAAGTAGGTTTTTTTTCTAATACTATACTCTATACTCTATTCTTATAGTCAAACTATTATAATAATGTTACAACTACGTATAATTTATTAATCAATTATTATATCGCTGCATTTATACGAAGCCAGTGTGAAGGCGATTGCTGTTGTTTCCAGGCAATGACTGAGTGATCCCATATACTAGTCACTATTTGCTTAATTGTGTATTTGTATTTTTCTGAAAGCATCCATTCGATGGAACAATTTTGTGCTTTCTGAGATAAAAAACATTTAAAGAAAATGTAAAAATACACGATAAAAACGTCGACGTTTGTTGAGAGATGGCGCCAGCCTCGCAGCGGTTGTCCGTCCGTCCGTCCGTCACGCCGTAGACATCGTATATACATATATTATTATATTTAGAATGTATGAATATATATTTATATAGGATACCTATGCGTCACGCGGCCGACAAATAAGTTCGAGACCCAGCTAGTGGTTCGTGAACATGTTGGCGACGGTTGTAAGTAGAGGGCGCTACATTATGGAATGCTGTTTTATTTAGACAAAAATTATATATATGTTGTCAAGTCCCGCGCATTCGATTAATAACAAATGATATACATGCAGACCGAATAATTCTGTCCCTGATAACTCTTTTAATTTTATATCATTTCATATTTTATTTTGCTGTATTTTTACATTTTCGTTTAATTTTGTTTTGTTTTCTATGTGCGAGTAGGCCTACTATATGCGTTATGCGTCATATTGATACAATCAGGTACGCGTCAGACGGATAATAATGCATAGAAAACGAAAAAAATAGATAAAAACATAAAAATCAAACACAAAAATACGAAATAATACAAATTCGGTCTAATGATATATTAGGGTTAGGGTTAGGGTTAGGGTTAGGGTTAGGGTTAGGGTTAAGGTACACTTTTGTAGTACAAGTCTGGTACACTTTGTGTATACACATATATGTACCTCGGGTACATATATGTAGTACCTGATACGACAACGACCCCTTCAGCATTACTGACGTGGGAGGATCTCCCGGTAATGCGCGTGACTATGCTTTATCCACCACAGGATTACCGCTATGAGATAATCCGCGCGCGGCTAACACGCGCCCGTGTACGTCTGTGTTGCAGTGCTAATAAAGTTTATCTCAGTTAGATCCAAATTAAGTTAAAAATAACTTGCACTGACGAAATTTTCGTTCATCTCGCCGATGGACTTCTTCAGGTGTTGATGTTTCCAGGTAGATGGCAGGACTGGAAACGGGTGAAACTAACTTAATTTAGATCTAACTGAGATAGATAAACTTTATTAGCATGTGAACTATAGAGATCCGATGAAATTATTCAATCGTCTGTGTGTTGCAGGGTTGCCGTACCCTGCTAAAGCTTACCCCCAGCTGCCGGCATACAACACCTACTACGCGCCCCGCGGTATGGTCGGCGGAGCGTACATGCCCGGGGTAGGGTGCCCGCCCTACCCCTGCTACTCACAGCCGCGCTCGGCGCTCGTCGCCCCGCAGCAATACCCCGTCTACTACTACTATAAGAGCAACCAGAAGTACTGCGCGACGGCAGCGGCTCCGGCGACGACAGTGGCGTCATACTACGGTCAGAAGGCGCCGGCGGCGGCGTGGGCGGCGGGGAAGACGACGATGGCGGCGCCGTACTACGCGCAGCCCGTGCTCGGCTATCCGACAGTGCCTGCCGTCTACTACCGACCATCTGGTACGTGCGCGCGCGCGGTGTGTGTGTGCGTGTGTGTGTGTGTGTGTGTGTGTGTGTGTGTGTGTGTGTGTGTGTGTGTGTGTGTGTGTGTGTGCGCGCGCGAGTACCGACGTGGGCGCTGTGCGGGCGGACCCCCACGCACACACATGGCACAGCGTGGTACATAGCTCAGCCCGCACGTGTCATTCTCTCTTCTCCGATGACGAAAGATGGGGCGATAGGGGGAGAGGGATGGGAGACCCTTAGTGAAGACAGTAAAGGGCGGGGGTAGTAAGCAATAGGATAGTAAGGGTGTGAGAGTAGGGTGGGAGCAAGCCTGTAAGGTAGTAGCGCAGTAGGGGTGAGATAGCAAGAGTAGGAGAGTAGGGTGGGAGCAAGCCTGTAAGGTAGTAGCGCAGTAGGGGTGAGATAGCAAGAGTAGGAGAGTAGGGTGAGGACAAGCCTGTAAGGTAGCAGCGCAGTAGGGGTAAGATAGCAAGAGTAGGAGAGTAGGGTGGGGACAAGCCTGTAAGGTAGTAGCGCAGTAGGGGTAAGATAGCAAGAGTAGGAGAGTAGAGTTGGGACAAGCCTGTAAGGTAGCAGCGCAGTAGGGGTAAGATAGCAAGAGTAGGAGAGTAGAGTTGGGACAAGCCTGTAAGGTAGCAGCGCAGTAGGGGTAAGATAGCAAGAGTAGGAGAGTAGAGTTGG